TTGGTCTCCGCGTTGGCGGCTTCGCTTCAGCTGTGGGTGTGTTTTTTTATTTTTCCTGTGTGCAGGCTGTTTGTTTCCTTAGGAGTGCGGTGTGTGAGAAGAAAACCCCCTGGCGCGGTGGGGTCCGGCCCGCTGGTGAATATGCAAATTCAGCTGAAAATAGTCTGTTTCAGAATAACGTTAAATGCAAGCCGTGCGAAGACAAGTCCTGTTTCCCCGTCGCTAACGCTTCTTACTCTCAAATAATCTCTTGCCTGGCAACGAACTTTTTAGCAGGGCCTGTTACAACAGGACAACGCGTAATGGGTTTAAACTAAAAGAGGGGAGATTTAGAGTGGATATAAGAAAGAAATTTTTTACGATGAGGGTGATGAAACACTGGAACAGGTTGCCCAGAGAGGCGGTGGAGGCCCCATCCCTGGAACCATTCAAGGCCAGGCTGGACGGGGCTCTGAGCAACCTGATCCAGTTGAAGATGTTCCTGCTCACTGCAGGGGGGTTGGGCTAGATGGTCTCTAAAAGTCCCTTCCACCCCAAAGCATTCTGTGATAATGGTCTGTTGCATTAATTTGTAAGACTTGTAAACTGTAGAGTACTCAGGGACCTTCTCGGAGATGAGGTGTCTGTTCTGTTACTCGTGTTTTCACAGAAGTGTGTTTCGGCATGTAGCCTGTTACAGTTCCTATGCTGAAAGGTTATCGTGCATTTGTTGCAGCAGATATCCCAGCGATCACAGGCTATTATTCTGGGACCATAGGCAGGCTGGAAGGTGGCTTTGGGGTGTCGGTTTGTACAACTGTCCTAGCAGGCTATTGCTCAAATCCAAAATTAAACACTGGTGCTGTTAGCAGTTTTGTTCCTTGTCACTGGCAGGCAGACTTCTGATGCATGTGACAGTCTGATTCTAGATCAGTCCAAGCATCCTCACACAGAAAACAAATAATACTTTGTTTCACTGTGCTGCCTAAGTAATTTTTCCTGTCGCCTGTTTCTACCTTTTAAACACAAGTGGCTGCATTGTAAATGTTAAAGAAAAAAGAAAAGTCACATACTGAACATCAAAGACAGCATGGACATGACCTTAATGTAAAACTGATATAAATAAGCTTATGCTATTTTTTCATTTTTATATGTGTTTTAATTTTATTTCCTTGGTTTAAATGTGTGTTTGTAGAATTTTCAACCTGTTCTGGTTTGCTAATTTGCTGCAAGATATCATGTGTAAGGTGTAGCGCTTTTTGAATACTGAAGAAGCTTGTAATTGACACATTCAAAAAGCAGAAGTGCCTGTGTTTGTTGCTAATTAGTAGTACACTTTTCAATGCTAATGAAGTTCTTTACGAGATAGTCTTACATAAGCTTGATAAAAATCTGCCAATTTTCTAGAGATAACTGTATCCAATTAAGGGGAGGACAGTGCTACACTAATAGCAAAATATTTGTATTTTACCAGGCGACAGACTGGTTGGCACCTTCGTTTGATGACTTCTTTGGAAACACAAATGTTTCTTCTAGTGCCATTCCTGTGAAGCCACTAGAAGATAACTCTGGAAGAAACCGGCAGCAGAAGAAGAAAGACCTATCTTCTGTGCCAGAAAGTACCAAAAACAAAGTTCTGTCCAGAAAAAGAGCAAAGTCGTCTTCAGTAGATCTACCCTGTAACAAGTCCAGACAAAACAAGAGCCAGTCTCAAGATGAGCCATGGGTAGACAGATACAAACCCGTAACTCAGGTGTGAGAGTTATTCTAACTGCTAATATGGTAGTAACATAATAGTGTAGCACATTATGCTTCTCTTCATAATCTGCATTTGTCAGGTTCCAAGTATATCCGGTTTTATTAGGGCAGTGAAGTACAAGTTTGACTTACCTACTGTCTGTAGTTAAGATTTTAATGAGCTGTTTATCTGTAGGAGACACATTTTTTTTCTCCAGGCTTCCTGAGGAGATAAAGCTGCTGATGAGATGTTGTTTCCTTGTTCACGCCCAAACTTTTGAACCTGTTATTGAATTTCATCCAGATCTGACAGCTCCAAGTACTAGAAAAATCCACAGCTAAAGAAAGGAGGGAGAACGGAGTTAGTGCACTCATTAGGGGAAAGATAACAGAAATTTGTCTTGCATGTTACTGGACAGCAGTTAGCTGGTCTGTTAACATGTTCAGAGTACTTGACTAATTGCAGTTTGCACAAAGGAGTGTGTGTTAACTGTCTCTTAGATTTGAGCAAGTCAGTGTAGTACTTTTATGTTTAGATATTTATTAGCTCATCTCTGGAGAGGAATTGAGTTATGGGGCTAGAAGACAAGTAAGATGCGTGAGATCTGCAGAAGTTCCAAAAATGCAGGTACTGTTAGAGTCAGTAGAGCCTAAAAAGTACTATCTCCAGCAATAGCTGTAAAGCATGCTGACATGAACAGGCAAGACTATTACTTTAGGAATAATAATCATTATTTCCCAACTGCAAACAATGGAGAATTGGTTGTTTGAAGAAACAGGCTGAAATGATGATCCTTAACCGTTGCACTTACTTCTACATAGCATAAACATATGTAACTGGAATACACACATACATGTCTGTTAATATTTTAGTCGGCATATATTCTGTTCTTGAGTCTCATCATCACAGTCTTAGAAACCAAGAGTTGTATATATACGTTTAATATATTTTGATTTTGTTTTAGAATGACCTTGCTGTGCAAAAGAAGAAAATTGAAGAAGTTGAAACCTGGTTAAAATTGCACATATTTCAAGGGCAGCCAAAGCAGGTAATCTTGCTAAAATTAGCAGCTGGAGATATGAAACCATACAAACAAGCTGGATTCAGTTTTACTTTGATTTCAGAGAAAAAAATCTTAAGGTAGTGATTATGTACCTAATTGCATTATAAGAAATCTGTGAAGAATATAGATAAGAGCTTGTACATTTGTTTAGGGCTTATGCTGCTAAGAGGTGGTTTCTGTTTTTGCTTAAAAATATTATTTTCTAGCATCCAGTCAGTTCATACCTTTTCAGTGTGAGCTTGTAACTGCATTCTGTCTCCCACAGATTAATTTTAAGTATCTTGGCAAATTTCCAGTTTCACTGACTTTATGTAATGGGATGTTTTTAACCTCTTGATTGGTAAGAGGCATTCTTATAGGCATGCACCATTGACTAGTCTCATTTAGTGTTTTTCAGACCCGATTCTCCAGTTCAGTATGCATTATGTTGGTAGTCTGCACGATGTGCAGTTAACTAAACATTAAAAACTGAGAGCAAGGCTTTCAGAGTTCTGGTCTACCTCTTTCTGTCTAAACTCAACATGTGAAGTAATAACACAAAATATTTAACTTAGTTTTTATTCGAAAAAGAGAATCATTACCAGAGAAACTAGAGAAGAAATTCCCCCTTTTTTTTTTCTTGTGATAGGGTGGCTCTGTTTTATTGCTGACTGGTCCTGCTGGTTGTGGAAAGACTGCAACTATACAGATACTAGCAAAAGAGCTTGGTGTTGAGGTGCGAGAATGGACCAATCCAATATCTTTAGACTTTACAAAAGAAGACTTAAGAAATATGTTTGGCCACGGTAACTATTTTTATTTTTTCTTTTCTTTTTCATTTTCTTCCAGTTACTTTTGTGATTTTTTTTTTTGTATTCTGTGTTTTTTATTATTTTATGTCTCTGTCACATATGAAGTCAGATCCACATCTATGTAAGCCAGACCCTGAGTGTTTAATAAGAATCTTGCTTTTGCTTTTATCTGAAAAGGGATTTAGGTTTTTTTTGCAGTTTTTACTCCAAAATAATTTGCAGTTCAAATCAGTATAGAGAGCTATGTAATAGCCTGGATATCGTTGGAGACAATTAAATAAAAGTAGGTGAGTCTGTCCTTGTCTGGGTCTTCAGCTGAATTCTACCCTTTAAAAATTCTCTTGTAATGTGTTTGCCAAAGGGCTTGGCTGCTGGTGTTCAATGCCTACTGTGAGAAAATAGCATGAGGGGGTATTAGTTCTTGTGGGTATTTATATTCTACTTAGTATAATATAGAATACGTATTTTTAATTAGTTTTCTTTTTCAGAGTCAAATTTTCATACGTTTCCGAGTCAGGCCCAGACAGCTGTCTTTCGAGATTTTCTATTACGAGCAAATAAGTATAACAAACTTCAGATGCTTGGAGAGTCCTCAGAAAATGATAAAAAGCTTATTCTTATCGAAGTAAGTGAAAACTTGTGAAATCTTGTTTTGAAACCAGTGCCTTTTATCATAATATGGACATGCTAACTAGCTTCAGCTGGTGGATTGCTGTTGCCAAAAGTTAGTCTGTTTTACTGCAGATGAGTTCTTTATTACTTTTTGAGTCTCTGCAGTAGGCTGGAACCAAGTTCTACCTGTAGTTAAACTATATAGACTAATTGGCAGAAATTGGAGACTAGTTTGTGTACAGAAATATGTAATAGAGTATCAAAAAGTAGATCAAAACAATATTGAAAAGTCATACCCATGTTTCTGTATGATTAGCTTTCTAGAAATAGATATGCGTATAAACAGGAAGAGGGGAAAAAAACCCTACTATTCTTGTTACTTAAGGATGCAGGAGAGTGCAGAAAATATGTGAGAATTAATACAATCGGAAAGCATTTGAAATTTAGCATTCCCTGGGCTTATGTGGAGGGGTTATTTAGGGCAGAGATGTGAACTGCGAGGGTTTGTAAGCCATAAAGGGAGCTACAGGAAGATACTTTATTTTTGCTTATTCTGTAGTGTCTTTCAATAACATTTTATTTCTGAGCTTTTCCTTTTTTCTGCAGAGGAACTTTATGTTGGGGTAGTCATGTTGTCTGTAAACTTTGAAGAAAAAGAACAGATGAGATAAAATTTCTAGCTGAGTAGTGTGATGAGTAATTTAGGAAGCATAGCTTTCTGTGACTTCCCTTTGTGAAGTCATTTTCTTAGTTTTCTTATTTAGGTCCTCTCATAAGTAGTGTATCCTGCCCTCATCCTCAGTGGGGCTGCTTCCTTGAGTGTTTATCCACTGAGCAAAACTCTGTCTAGTAGGCAGTGTAATCGCCCAAGGCTGCTTCTTAGGAAGCAAGGACAGAAAGGAAGTGTTTCTTTTTAGATAATTGTCTCCATAATAAAAGAAAGAAATACTGTGCTTTGGTGGTTTTTCTTCTTTTTTTTTTTTTTTTTTTTTTTTTTTTCTTCCCCCCCGGTTATTTTCACTGTTGGCCGCATTCAAATTTAGTTGAAAACAAGCTAACTAGGAAGAAAAAATGCATAGCACCGTAGTGTGCCGTAACAGTCAGTCTGTGGGAGAGGATATTTACATCTGAACGTAATGACAGCAGTTCATTTGTTTTGAATAGGACATACCTAACCAATTCTATCGAGACCCTAGCAGTCTACATGAAATTCTCAGGTCAGTTGCAAATGAGTTTTTAATGATTAGCTTTAGCCACTTGCAGTAAACTGGAATTTGATTCTTGCTATGCTTGCTTATTTTTCAATTCAGGAGGTTTGTTCATACAAGTAGATGTCCCCTCATATTTATAGTCTCAGATAACTTCAGTGGGGACAGCAACCAGAGGTTACTATTCCCAGCGGAAATTCTGGAGGAGTTGTGTATATCCAATATTAGGTAAGATCTTTTATCTCATTAAAACTCGATACAAACAAGTGAGATT